CGTGGATTGGCAAGAGCAGCCTCCTCGGCCTGGCTGGCCCTTAGGAGGCAGGCCGTGGAAGTATATAGGTAACCCTCCAGGCACTTCACGATTCATTCAGGAGGCAGTAGTCTTCAGGATTCGGGAGCAGCACTGTGGAGGGAGCGCTGCGTTGTAGTAGTGGTGGCGTTAGCTTGTAGTCTTCAGCGCTGGGCGCAGTAGGTAGCTGTAGCCTCCAGTGCTGGGCGCCATAGCTAGGATAGTGTTAGAGAGAGAGAGAGAGAGAGAGAGTTTGGGCGGAGACCAGGAGTACTTACCTGCAGCGCCGTTGCTCCAGCTTCGTCTTCGAGGTACCTGCAGCACAGCGCCCACATCACAGGTTAGTATCTGGTTCGTAACAGTGAGAGAGAGAGTCTTCTTCTTCCTCTTCTCAGTCCACCATCTTCTTCTCTCCCTCTCAACATCTGACTTCACTGCATCTGCAGACTGCGAGAGAAGAGAGACGGAGCTTGGCAACATTGGATCCAGACTCGACTTTTGGGGACTTCAGACAAGGCAACGAGGGATTATTTGGGATTGGTGACCAAGACTTGGTGTTAACGACATTCCCATCACTCTCCCTCCTTTCGTCTGTTCCCTACCTCTTCGTCTGTGTATGTCTGAATCTGRCGCTTCTTCCTGTGTACAGCGCCAGGCTCCCTCACACTCGGTGATGGGTATGATGCATGTTTGGTCTGGGTTCAAACATTGATTGGGCTCGTTATCAGTATTCTAGCATTCTGCTTCGCTACTTGTCACTACGTGAGTGAGGTCAGTCCCTGTCAGGTCAGTCCTTGTATCAAAGTCTTCCCTGCGCTATTCAGTACCTTTTGTATGTATGAGAATGCACATTGTCTGTCGAGATTCTACTCGCACTGCATTGTCCATTCTGTCCTTTTCATCACATTGCAGATCCTCGGTTATTACGTACATGGCATATCTGTGCATGTAACACAGACCCTGGCTCGGTTGGGCATTGGCAAGAGCAGCCTCCTGGACTGCCCGCCCTGCAACTGGAGGCAGTCGGAGGCAGTCAGGAGGCAGGCCGAGGTAGTACATAGGGACTTCCCATGCACTTCACGGGTAGGCAGGAGGCAGTCAGTAGTCTTCAGGATTCGGCAGCAGCACTCTGGAGGAGTGCTGCAGGTAGTTGTAGCCTTAGCAGTAGTCTTCAGCGCTCGGCGCTAGTAGGGTTAGCTGTAGTCTTCAGCGCTGGGCGCCATCGCTAGAGTAGTACTAGTGAGAGGGAGATTGGGCGGAGGCCAGGGATACTTACCTGCAGCGCCGTTGCTTCAGCTTCGTCTTCGAGGTACCTGCAGCACAGCGCCATCTTCACAGGTTAGTACCTGGCATACAAGAGAGAGAGAGAGTTCTTCTTTTTCCTCTTCTCAGTCCACCATCTCCTTCTCACCCTCTCGCTATCTGACTTCTCTGCATCAGCAGACTACAAGCGAGAGAGAGACAGAGAGCTTGGTGACATTGGATTCAGACTCGACATGGGACTTCAGACATTTTGAAGAGGGATTATTTGGGACGTGTAACGAGACTCAGTGTTGACGACTTTCCCATCTCCCCCTTCCTCTTGTTTGTCTGATCCCTTCCTCTTCGTCTGTGTATGTCTGGACCTGGCGCCTCTTTCCTGTGTATAGCGCCAGGCCCCTTAACACTTTGTGATGAGCATGATGTATGTTTGGTCTGCGTTGAAACATTGATTGGGCTAGTCATTATTATTCTAGCATTCTTCTTCGCTATCTTGTACTACGTGAAAGAGGTCAGTCCCGGTCAGGTCAGGACTTGTATCTAAAGTCTTCCCTGCGCTATAAAGCACCATTTTGTATGTATCGGAATGCACATTGCTTGTTGAGATTCCACTTGCACTGCATTGTCCATTCAGTCCTTTTTATCACATTGCGGATCCTCGGTTTATATGTACATCGCCCAACTGGGCATTTAACACAGCGCCACATCAGCATGCCACGTAGACCAGAGGCAGCGCCACATATACCAGAGGCAGCGCCACATCACCATGGCATGGTACACTGAAGAAGCGCCGGCATGCTTCCTCCACCTCGTGCCGTCGTCCGCAACGCTGGTGCACAGCCAGCATGAAGCCAGCGTCGTGTCAAAGTCGAGCCAGCGTCAAAGCAGCATAGCAAGACTGAATCCTTGACTCTCCAGGCCAGCCTTAAGTCACAGATGTCGAGGCTGTCTGACCTCGGTCCTCTTTCCTCAGTCGTCCAGATTGACTCACATCTGAAGGCCCGGATGATACAGTTGGACCTGATGCTGTCTGGGTACCTGCATACAAACAAATGTGTGTGCTTGAGCAGCGGCCTGGGCTAGGTACCTTTGGACTTTGACTGTTGGATGGACCAACAGTTGACTAAAGTCAACTGTCACACGCCGAGGCCCTGAATTCATGTAGGGCCTTTTTTCAAGTTTTCTGCCCTCGTTCGGCCTGGGCTGAGGGCGGCCAAGTAGGCCCTCTGAGACCCTCAGTTTCCACGAGACATATGGCATGGGTTATTGCAGAGCGAAGAGCGCATTTGCTGAAATGAAGCATCCTCATGGTCATCTGTGTAGCACATGGTTTTGTCCTCTCCCCTCTTCCTCCCTTTTCCCCTTTCCCCCACCCTTCACCCCACTCCACCCCACCCACCCATTTCCTACCATACGCGTCCCCCATTAGTACAATCCCTGGCGCAGCTTTGTGCACTTCCTCTTGAGACGCCTCATACATTTTCTTCCACTCGCCCTTATGGTCACAGTTACATCTGTTGAAACACCTCCCGAGCGCCTGCCTTGATTATTCCCGATGATTAGGAGGCCATAGTTCCTTATATCTTTCAGACTGCAATTGGGTGCAATTCTGTTTGTTGCATGTTGGAGGGTGTGGCTGAGCGCCCATGCGGTCAAGTTTGGGGAAAGTTTCGTCGTGTGTGTGGTTTCGCATTAAATACCTAATCCGTCAGTTGTGGTGATGAATGATTGATGATTGAAGTTGGAAGTACACTCAATTCTAACAGTCGTATTGAAGTGCGACCACATCATCAAACTCTGCATTGAGCCATGCCATGATCCCTGTACTGCCATATCAGTGTCATGCCAGCACATGTCACCACATACGTCATCACCCCACTAAACTAAGCCACACCATACACAGTGGCGGATGATTCTCTGAGAGGAACACGGTCGTGCTAATGGGAGAGAGTGGCTTATATCTTTCAGACTGCAATTGGGTGCAATTCTGTTTGTTGCATGTTGGAGGGTGTGGCTGAGCGCCCATGCGGTCAAGTTTGGGGAAAGTTTCGTCGTGTGTGTGGTTTCGCATTAAATACCTAATCCGTCAGTTGTGGTGATGAATGATTGAAGTGCGACCACATCATCAAACTCTGCATTGAGCCATGCCATGATCCCTGTACTGCCACATCAGTGTCATGCCAGCACATGTCACCACATACGTCATCACCCCACCAAACTAAGCCACACCATACACAGTGGCGGATGATTCTCTGAGAGCAACATGGTCGTGCTAATGGGAGAGAGTGGCTCCATGTTAGCGATATATGATATAATGGGGTGAATCCAGACAGTCAGTAGCGAGGGGCCATAAAATAGCCCTGGCAGAACTCATTGGCAGAGACAAAGGCAAAAGGACCAAGTGTAGCGGCCTGCAGATACTGACATGGCAATTGAACAGAAGCCAACAGTGTAGGAATTGCAGGAGATACAGGGCTGAGGAAGATGAAGCCCTGGCAGAAATTACGGTTTGTATTTGGGGCAGAGTGCTTGTGTTGATCACCTTTTCTATGATTCTGAATTGCTTTGTCGTTTTACCTGTGGTCATGCAGCAAGCTCCTATGAGCAAGCGAGGACACGTGACGATAACTAAGATCATTCTCAGTTCGGCACCAGCTGTGGGAGATATGCGTGGCTGCCGCCCCTATGTGAAGGTGATTTCTCCAACTTACCTTGCAATGTCCTGAGTCTTTTAGCATTGCAAGTGCACCCTTGTTTAACAATCTTTGAAGTCTAGTACATCGATGTTGATTGACTGTATTCTTCTTCATAGTAGGTCTGAGATGCCCTCATGTGAAGGTAGATTCTTCTGGTTGCCTTTCTATGTGCTGAGTCAGGCCTGAGCCAGGCAACATTGGCAAGTGCACTCTGGTGATATTTTTCTTCAGTGAGTAAGAGTCTGTGTGATATTTCTGGTCTGACATGGACTTGCGGGCAGAGAAAAGGCCCATTTGAGTGACCGGGTATAATGTACCAGTGGGGAGGTTACATGCGATTGGAGCTGAGTGTGTGAGAATTGCAGACGCGTCGGTGTGGTATTGAGTGAGGTGTTGTGTGAGCTTGGACACTACGGCCTTGCAGGGGTGGGGTGGATATCACGACTGGTAGGGTTCCACTTTTAACACCGTGTCCTTGCTGTAGTGGTTAAGATACTTGGCTCTTTGGGCCAAGGCCTCTTGTTTGAATCTGTGCTTGCGCGGAACGGGGCTGAGGCCCAGAAGTACAGATCCATAACTACTGTGGAAGGCCCCCGTGGAACTTGCGGCCACAGGTGACTGTGCGAGAATTCCGACCATGTCGGTGTATGGGTGAGGTGTTGTGTTGAGATTTGACACTACAGCCTTGTAGGTGTTACATGCTGCGCCTGCAACATGCTGCAACATGCTGCGCCTGAAATGAGGGCCATTTTCAGGCCCTGTGTTGTTTTCAGCCTAAAAGCCTGAAAACAAGGGCCTACAGGCCCTGTGTCCTTTTCAGCCTAAAAGCCTGAAAACAAGGGCCTACAGGCCCTGTGTC